ATCCTTGAATTAACCTAAAAGGCTGCATAAATAATGTTAGGAACTCAATATGGTTTAGAGCAATTGCAAATATGATTTCACAGATGCTTACATTTTTATGTTCACATTTATTTCACAAGGTTAAATGAACTGCTGCTAGCACTAGTAAAATGAAGTTTGTGATGTAAAGTTTCCTGTAGAGGCAGAGAGGACATAATTTTCCAGGGGCAAAAGAATCTCAAAGTCAAACCTGAGGTTTTTTTGCTGGAGTACATCTCGCATTATTTTGCAGTGATGGGTGGTGTTATGCTTATGCTGTTTGGCCTTAATGGAAAAAGAGTTGCACCACAAGAAAAACAGTCTGGCAGAAGAACTTAGAACATACAGAATAAAGGGAGATTTCTAAATTTCCATTTGTGTGGTTCTGTTTCCAAGCAGGATATGTTGTTGTCTTTCCTGTAAATTAAAAACTGTAATGACACCTCCAAATGACCCAATTTCACAGTATGTTCAGAAATGAAGTTACTTCCATTCAAATTCTGCTCAGGATGTGGAAAAGTACCTGGAGTACATATCTGTGTGGTAGAAATTCTACTCAACCTACACATGAGAAGTACAGGCTTGAAGATTTACTGTATTCATAATTCAGATCCTTGTTGTGTGTGATGAACAAAAAGGATGTAGTTTCTATTTGCCAGATGTTCAGTTGCCATTTTCCAGTAAAGTAACATTGACTAAGGCTTAAGGAAATGATTAATTCTTCATTTACAGTGTTAGAGAAGGGAAAATATGCAAATTCTCTTAAACACTTTCTTACCACAGACACAGAGTTAATTGAATAAAGACAAGCTAGTGTGCATATATAGTGCTAGCTATGTATACAGGAAATTTAAAAAAAATCCGTTTTTAACCCCATGTATAGCTGATGAAGCCCACTCTTCTTATAAATACTGTGCTGTATATTGTAAAAGGGAAGGGTGTGTACAAGGAATGACTGTGATGTTATTTATTATGTTCTTTAGAGGACAAGCAAAAGATGATTTGAAGGAACTCAAAGCTACCATTTATTTTAATCTGTCTACAATTAATAGTAATATATAATTACCATAAATAAATGAAAAGAAGTACACAACTAGGTGTCCTGGGTTCAGCAGTAGCAGTCATTTTTCTCCTTCTTAGTAGCTGGTGCAGTGCTGTGGTTTTGACTTTCAGCCTGGGAACAGCGCTGATAACGCCAATGTTTTTAGTTACTGCTCAAATGTTTAGTCTGACCAAGGACTTTCTGAGTCTTATGCTCAGGATGGGAAGGAGGGAGGAGGGGAAGCCAGGAGGAAGCAGAGACAGGACACCTGACCCAAACTAGCCAAAGAGGTATTCCATACCACAGCACATCATGCTCAGTATATAAACTGGGGCAGTTACCCAGAAGGGCTAGATCACTGCTGGGGTTGGGCTGGGTATCGGTGGGTGGTGAGTGGTTGTATTCTCTTCCCTTGTTATTTCCCTTATCATTATTATTATTGGTGGTAGCAGTAGTTGTCTGCATTATACCTTAGTTACTGGACTGTGCTTATCTCAACCCATAGGAGTTACATTCTTTTGATTCTCTTCCCCGTCCCTCCAGGAGCAGGGGAAGGAAGAATGGGGAAGAGTGAGCAAGCGACTGTATGGTTGTGAGTTACTAGCTGGGCTTAAAACACAACACTAGGTGTCGAATCTTAGTCCTCCAGTCCCTAGTCTTATTCACTGCATACTTGCCACTACCTGGCTTCCTGTCATTTTACGTTGTTTGGAGTATAATCTGCCTTGACTGTCCCACAGAGGACAGCCTTCCTTCATCTGAGAGATGTTGTTGGCCCTTCAATGGACTCCTTCCAGTATCTCCATCTCTGTGTTATACTGGGTAGCCTAGAATTGACACAGGACTACAGGTGTGAACTCTCCAAGGCTGAGTAGAAAGGCAGAATCACCTTACTTAACCTGTTGGCAGCCCTCCTAATGCAGCCTGGGATATCGTACCCTTTTTCACTGCAAGGGTGTGGTTTTGCCTCATGTCCAATTTGGTGTCCATCAGGACCCCAAAGTCTTTCTCTGCAAAGTCTCACAGTTATTAACACCATTTTTATCTACCTATACTTATATGTCATTTATTGTAACATGTCACCTTTAGTTGCTGTAAATCTACATAGAGATGAAATAATACAGCTTTTTTTTTATGCATGATATACATATACATGATTAATGTTTTGTGCTTGCTCATGTCATGAGAAATCTGCAAAGCATAAAAATTCAGCAGCTGATTGATAGATGGTTTTAGTGAGACCAGAAAAAATACTGCTGCTTTCTAAACAATACTGCTGACAGCCTCCTTTCACATCTAACTTTATAATCCATTTCTATGAGAGTTTTTTTTGAAGTAAGTCATTATTGCACATCCCTGCTTTATGTAGAAACTTAACCTGCCATTAAAACAGTTTTTAAGAGGTGTCTAAAAGTTACTTGTGGGTATGAATTAGTTGTCCCCATTTTGGCCTTTGTACCATCTTTTTTTCCCCTATTTTAACACTTGTTTTCATGGCACTAATAAATATGCAGAGAATTCAGGAAATCTCGGAAAAAAAAATTCAAAAAAAATGATGTATTTAATAAGTAATTTGGGTGTGTCTGTGATGTAATAGAAAACATTTATATGTGTCCTAGTAACGTGATTTGTCTCAAATGTGTTTCTTTTTTTTTGTCCTTGGCACATTTCCCAGAAAATGATTTTCTCTTTCCATGTTTGTCTCTCAGTATTATATTTAAACAAACACAAAATATTTTTAACAAAATCTGTCTCTTTTATTAATCTTTGATTTACTGTCACTTCAGATATTTCCGAATTCTTGGACTTATTCTGCCAATTTTCTTTTCTCTTCATGAAGAATATTTTGCAGTTCTTGAATTTGAGTTCAGGCGTATGGAGCAGCAACAGTAAACTATCAATTAAGATTTTCTATTTTCTTTCTTTAACAGATGGAGTCTACAGGTCACAAGATGTAGTTAGTTGCATGGAAGAGCCTTGCCTATGTAAACCACAAAGGATAAAATGTCATTTTCTTTTTTTTTGACTAGAAAATGTACTTAACTCATCAGTACATACTGATCCTGTTTTGAGTGCCCAACCTACTTTTACGCAGTTATTTTTCTGTTATTTTGCTCTGTAAACCCATCACTGACATTTCATATTTGTCAAAATGGTCTGTCTTAACTCAGACAGATACCCTTCAATTTTATTTTCTGACATGCAAAGTTTATCTCAGTGGGTTCAGTAAATCCATGTCACAGAAATAATGTGCGTGTCCCAAAAAAGCACAGCAACTGTGTTAGTCAACATGAGCACAAAACAAATCGAGTGCAGTTGGGAAAGTACAAGTCGCAAATACGTTATGTACAAACGGGCTGGTGAAAAATTTGATTTTACCAGCTGTAGTAGAATATACATGTAAATAATTTTACTTCAAGTACTGGAATCAGTGGAGTTCTTCCACAGTATCTGACACTTCAGGCCAATCAAGCTGACCTTGACCTTAAATTATTAACTTTTCTTTCTTTTTTATTTTGTTGTCTTCATTCCAATAAAATGCAACAGATTCTTAGAGTATCATGATAGAAAGTTCTGGGACAATTGCCTAATATGTATTTCCTTTAGAGTTCTGATCCTTAACTTGTATTTTTAAACTATATTAGGGAATAAAATAATTTTGCTGTTAATGTAGAAGTTCATAGCCCATATCTCCTTGAAACACAATGGTCTCTGTTTCCAAAGTTCATATTCAGTAATAAAACAGCTGAAATACAACAATATGATTTGCAGACTGCAAATATCTGTAGATGCCACAGTGCTGGTGCATTTCATATTTGGTCATCATCCTATGGCAGTTCATTTACGTACTCAGCTTTTAAAAACACTAGTAACTTTATTACTGTCTATTAATGCTTTCCAGTTTACATGGATTTTTAATAAGCTTTAAAATCTATCCTGAAGGCTGTTGCAATGTTTAGCCAGTAATGAAATAATTCACATCAGTCATGCTTACCATTTAAAGTGTTTCCTAACTTTTAACAGAAAAAAGCCTTGTTAGAAACAAGCATGATACAAAAGAAGACTTCTGCTGAATAGAAGTGTTTGCATTGCTGGGCCTCTCTAGTTAATAATCAATTCATCAATTCAGCAGATGTTCACCTTTGTCTTTTTTTCTTTTTCTTTTTTTTTTCTTTTTTTTTAGGAGAACATAGGCAGGGAAAATGTACTTTATGTTTTTTTGAGACTATGTGAAACACCTCTTTGCAGTTTTATGCAGTTTAATCAGTCAGAAATTTAGCACTCAGCACCTAATCATTAGTGTACATTATACTATCACCATAGAACTAGAAGATTTAAATTATGTTATCTGAATTGACACCCAGTATAATATCTAATACACTGTATAGGAAACAGTATTTTTTATGCCATGAGTTGTTTAGTACTGCTTAATTAGGATGCTGATGCACAATTTCATATTAAGGGTGTTAAAAAAGTCGGATAGCTATATAATCCTGAGAATTTCCATAGTAAATTATTTTATATTGAGTTCTATTTGGACTGCATTCTGAACTTTACAACTCAGATGATTAGAAATGCCTGTAGTTTAGGCATGTCTGTGTAATATCTAACCAAAATATTTTTATATAAGAGATGGTATCTTTTATTAGAAAAACCTTGGAGACAGAAGGCAGAGATAGTAAAGGAATTGCAGGTACACAAGTTGGTTATTAAAAAAGGTAGCTAAAAAGTAGGGTTACATGCCTACGTTATCTTAGTAGTAGGTCAAACTATTGATATATTTATGAAATTTTCAAGTTTTGAAATGGTGAAGTGCCTGTCAGTAGACAAAAATGCACAGCAATCAATACTAATACTTTTAATGATATTAAAATTACAAAAAAAAAAAAAAAAAACACAACAAAAAAACAGATTATTTATTTTACTTAATACATTACAGAGATACCAATGTGTTTGTATGCCTGGATGGGAAGGAACGTTCTGTGAAAATGAATCAAATGAATGTAATTCAGAGCCTTGTAAAAACAATGGCACCTGCGTGGATCTTTTCAACAGCTATCGGTAAGTGTTACATCTTCTCCCTATATGATTATGTTCCAGGAATGACAGACTTATGCATCCAGTTATAATTTTATTGCTCAGCTTGGGAATGGAATGTTATTACACAAATGAGCAAACAACTTATGTCATGGATAAACTGCTTTACTTTATGTTCATTTGAAGTCAGAAGACAATTAATTGTAGATGGAGAATTAAAAAAAAATGCATCCATTCAAAACACTTAGCAAGTAATCTAACCTGGAGCTGTAATTAGTCAAAGAATATATAGGATCTTTTTCTATCATGTATGTCCTGAGTGGGAGTGGAGGGTTGTACAATTTTAGATGAGATTGTATCATTGCTGCCACCTTGTGGTTTAAAAGATAGGAAAATAGAAATTTAAAATTTACAGGCACACTGGGAGAAATCATGAGGATTTGACACCATAGTATTCATAACTTAAACCCCAGTCTTTATTTCATGCATGCATTTATGGTTTAAAAGTGATTCTTTTTTTATGTTTATGAAGCTAAGGACTCCATAAACCATCTAGCAATCAGCTTCTTTTATTTGTATACAGGGTTTACCTATATTTAGATGTCAGGACTAACTAAAGTAGTCCTGTATCAGAATGCAAACCCATAACAGATACTGATATAGTTGCATAAAGAACACAGTGTAATAACTGTACACAGTACAGAGTCTAGTTGTTGTGTCATGATTATATTCCTGGTAATACAGACAATAGAAAGAAAACCTACCATAGCTGCAAACAGACACGATTCCTCAAATAGCCAAACATAAATTCAGCTAAGTTAAATAATGCATATAAAATAATATATTTTTTGCATTATTCTGCTTTCAGGATTTAACTGAAATACTTTGAGTCATCCTAGGACTGCATAGGTATCTGTCCTATTTTGGCAAAATATTTTCAGAAAAATTTTCAGTCCAATAAGAGAAGAAGCCTACCGAGGCTAGGAAAAGCTGTTAAAATGTTTTAAGTTGATTTTTTTTTGGGGGGGGGGGGGGGGGGGGAGGTGGCTGAGAGAGAGTTAAGTGGGTTGGGACATACTTTTTTTGTGTGTAATTATTTTCGTGAAGTTTGTAGGTTTTTTTTTGTATTCTACTAACAAAAAATGATTTCATAGTTGTGTACTGTTTATGTGTGATAAGTTTGTTGAATTCTTACATAATAAAGTGGATTATATAGGCAAATGAACAGTTTCACCACCCTCAAGGACAGTTTTGTGTGCAAGAATATTTTGCAGCCATGTATCATTACCTGCCATTATATTATACCTATTTTTTTCAGTTTCTGGAGTGTTATATATATTGCAGAAGGTAACACAGTTTCTGCTGTATTTATTCATACCTAGGCCAACTATGTATGAGCAAATTCAAGGACTTCCTATTGTTTGATGAGAAAAAAGGTGTTCATAAAGTACTTTTTCTGGCTTTGGCAAACACTGAACTGTTACAGAAAATGCTTACAAGTGAATCAATTTGAACTGCAAGCACCACAAGTCTAAGACTTGGAAACAGCAAGGAAAATAAGTCTATATCCATAGTTTTGTTGTATAATCTAAAACAATTTAATTTCAATCATTAGAGTTGTCCTAGTTTATACTCTCAGATATTAAAAGGCATTCTGCTTTTTTTCACAATTACTTAATATAAAAAAAAAAGTATGATTTCTATTACATTTTTTAAGACTTTTCTCTTTATAATGACAAAACCAAGTGTTCATCTCATGGTAGCTAAGTAGTGGCACTGACAAGTACCTGATCCTGGGGATATCCAGCCATATCTTTAAAATTAAGTCTTTAAAACAGGATAACTGGATTTTAACTGCTTGATAGAAAAAGTTCATTTGCATTCTGGAGCTGTGCCTAGGTATTGTGTTGGACAAGCACTAGCTGCTCTGACCAAAGTTAGATCAGGAACTGCTTTGGAATTACAACAGTGATAGATGATGCAGCTGCTTTCCTGGCCAAGTTCTGGTACTGTTTATTTTCCTAGTATAAGTTTAGTTGCTGGACATGATACTCAGAATTTTCTGAAATTCTTTGAAGTTGGCCACACCATCACTAGTACCCAATATTACTTCTAATTTAAATTGATGTAAAGTATAGATAACATAGCTTTCTTTTATGCCTTTGATAACACTCATTAGTTTACTTTCTTTTAAGTATTTCCAAATCCACCTGAAAACTTTTTGAAAAATTTAGTGTGCAACAGCCTAAAAAATAGATTTTTGTATAGAAAAAGAAGGAAAAAAATATAATAGAAAAGGAAATATTTTTGTAACAAGATTCATAGCTGTAATAATGAGAATAATAATACAAACCATAAAATCATAGAATAGTTAGAATTGGAAAGGACCTTAAGATCATCTAGTTCCAACCCTCATAACTCCTAACTAAAAAATTCTCTTTTATGCTCATTTATATGGTGCTATTTAATTTTTAACCTTGATCTGCAAACTTGCTGCCAAAATTGAAGAACCATCAAGTATGCCAGAACAGAATGCTTTCCTGTATGGATTCCTTCATACAAAAATAAATCACACACTGCCAGGGGGAAAAAAATCAAAGCTTTCTCAGTTGCGCACTTTTATTTTAAGGAATGAGAATAAGAAATTTAGAATAAGATACTGAATCAAGAGTTAATCTCGAATTGTTAAATATGAATAATTTTGTATGTCATTCCTGTTTCATTCCTGTTTACTTTTGTTCAGGCTGATAAACTAAGGAATTTGTTTTTCTCCTTTCTCATTTTTCAGTTTGGCACATGGCACAGCAAAGTCAGTAATTTAGAATAGTTTCATGCATATATTTCCAGTATCCTTTGAACCTTTAATTCTCACGACAGCATAATCTCTCAAATTATTTCTCTGAACATTTACAGCATCTATTATGCTAAATTCCCTATTTCTTCTCTATCCTATTGCATCATCTCTCCTGATACTTTGAGTAATTTTGCCCTAATAACATCAAGCCCTAATTAAAGCCCTTGTGTCTCCTTTGCTTTTACCAGCTCATAGGGAAACTTTAAGTGAAAACTCTCTTCAAATATTCTTTCAAAATAGTAGCAACATAGTTTTATGGATGAACCAGTGTTTCTAATGGTGTAGAATAGTTTTGGACTTGGCTGTAATCATGATGACATTAAAATTTGGAGAATTAACCAAGTGTCTTTCCAAAGTACTCAATTCTTCCTGTGTATTTACATTGAATCCCACAGATTCATGCTATTTGCCATTTTGTCAGTATTTGTTGAGATGATGCGTTGTTGCTGCTTTTCTTTTTATAACGTATCAGTGGACTTCTCTACACTAATCAGAAAATTGTACTTTCTGAAGTACATTTCGTTATGCCATCTGTTGATCTTGTAGTCTTTATAACAGGTTTAGTGTTTACTTAAGAAAAGTTATCCTTTGTCAGTGGCTGAATAAGATACCATTTTACAATCTCTGTGGAAACTGAAGTCCAGTTCTGTTTTTATACCTGTAGTTTATCCTTTTTCCTCTTTAATGGTTCTTTTCTAGCATTTTCCTTTTTTAAAAAAGTAAATATATTAGACAATAGTTATCCTTACAGTATCTTGATTCACTGACTGGGACTCATGCTGACTGTGTCAGTCAGTCTAATGGTCCTTAGCACCAGAGCTCTATCCAAAATCTCGACACACTGACTTTACTATATACATTCTTTTCATTGTAACTTAGTTAAATATAAGTTTGTTGTAAATTAATATGTAGAAAAATGTATTAGTTGGGAAATGGATGATCTCTCTGATGGGAGTATTTAAAAAGACTGTCAAACTATGCAACTTCCAAACTTCAGAATTACTCTACTGGATTGCTAATCTGCATTAACACTACACATTGACAAGGGTTACCCGGGTAACTATAGACCGGTCAGCCTCACCTCCATCCCTGGGAAAGTGATGGAACACCTTATCCTTAGTGCCATCTTAAGGCATATCAAGGATAAGAGGGTTATGAGGGGCAGTCAACATGGCTTCACCAAGGGGAAATCATGTTTGACCAATCTCTTAGCCTTTTATGAGGAAATAACACGGTGGATGGATGATGGCAGAGCGGTGGATGTGGTCTACCTTGACTTCAGCAAAGCACTTGACACAGTCTCCCACAGCATCCTCACAGCTAAATTGAGGAAGCGTGGTCTGGATGATCAGGTAGTGAGGTGGACTGTGAACTGGCTGAAGGAGAGAAGCCAGAGAGTTGTAGTCTATGGGACTGAGTCTAGTTGGAGGCCTGTAACCAGTGGAGTGCCTCAAGGGTCAGTACTGGGACCAGTATTATTTAATATATTCATCAATGATTTAGATGAAGGAATTGAGTGTACTATCAGCAAGTTTGCTGATGACACTAAGCTGGGAGGAGTGGCTGACACGCCAGAAGGCTGTGCTGCCATCCAGCGAGACCTGGACAGGCTGGAGAGTTGAGCAGGGAATAACTTGATGAAGTATAACAAGGGAAAGTGTAGAGTCCTGCATCTGGGCAGGAACAACCCCAGGTTCCAGTATAGGTTGGGAAACGACCTGTTAGAGAGCAGTGTAGGGGAGAGGGACCTGGGGGTCCTAGTGGACGACAGGATGACCATGAGCCAACGCTGTGCCCTTGTGGCCAAGAAGGCCAATGGCATCCTGGGGTGTATTAGAAGGGCGGTGGTTAGTAGGTCGAGAGAGGTCCTCCTTCCCCTCTACTCTGCCCTGGTGAGACCGCACGTGGAATATTGTGTCCAGTTCTGGGCCCTTCAGTTCAAGAAGGACAGGGACCTGCTGGAGAGAGTCCAGGGCAGGGCAACTAAGATGATTAAGGGAGTGGAGCATCTCCCTTATGAGGAAAGACTGAGGGAGCTGGGTCTCTATAGTTTGGAGAAGAGGAGACTGAGGGGTGACCTTATTAGTATATATAAATATATAAAGGGGGAGTGTCACGAGGATGGAGCCAGGCTCTACTCAGTGGCAAACAATGATAGGACAAGGGGTAA